AAAAATTCTCACGTTAATAATATTTGGACATGGACCTCATATAGACATTATAATCTAATGCTTATACAAGTCTTAGTGATTGCTTCCACGACTCGAATTCATAACCTATAAGTTAAGAGATAATTTTATCATTGCTTCAAAACTCACTTTTTTCTATATATATTTTGGTTAGAAAAAATATATATTACACAATCAGATTATTATAGACTATTATTAATAATATGTTGATAATTAACTAATATCATATTATGACATGTTAAAATATACTAATAATAATTTTTAAAATTACACCATCAATATATATATATATATTTCAAACATAAAATCCAAATGTTAAACATGAAAATCTCATGAGAGAACCTTTGTTCTAATATCTAACCAAAGTCAAGAATTAGTATGATTCTGATCTTATCATCATTCACATTAAGTAATTTTTTTCAACAAATGTCATGTTGTTATTGGTCCTATATCTTCCAAAAAGATTTGTGCCATAACTTAAGGCTACAAAAAAGAAATTAGTGTTCCTCATAGTTTCAATAAATTAATTTATTTTTTTCATAATAATTTTATTTTTGTCTGATTCATGGAGTATTTAGTTTTAATCTTGTGGTATTGGATGATTCCACATAAACAAATTATTGTTGCAGATCTGAATTTTTGATATAGTAGATAGTAATGTCAAACCATTATTTATTCTCTTTAAAGTTTATCTCATAAATACAAGCAATAATGGAATAATTTACAAGAAAATATTTTTTAAGTTGACATTATAGTCTAGAATTATTTTGAGTACTTAAAATAAGTACTTTAGTTAGTTAATTAGATGTGATTAGGTGGATTAATTGACTCTATAATGATGTTCACAAGCTCAATGCTTAAGCAAACTTATTAATTAATCGCAATAATTAAGATGTGCGCGATTATAATAAATGTGTTTGGATATTTTTGGAAGTTTGTTATAATTAGTTGAATTTCTAGAGAGTTGTTTAGAAATTAAGACAAGTTTCCTTTTGTTAATGATGTAATTGTTAAAGCTAATTGGGCACTCCTTTTTTAGAGGGGATATATAATCGCATATTTCTTTGACTTTTTAAAAAAACTTTTATTTCGAGGTGTTTGTTTCAATTGATTTCGAAGACGTTCCCTTTAACACTTAACATCTTCACAAAGTCCTTTAATCAAGCTTTATTAATGGAATGATCGTCAAAGAAATCAATCATATTCAAACAACGTAAAAGAGCTGTTAATAAGTGAAGTTATTTATTTATTAGTGTTTAATTGATACTCTATAGAAAGTTGAAATTAATTAAGTTTGTTCCAATAAGTAATGTTTTTATTATTATTCAAAGAAAATTCAGTTTGTCACATTTTATATATCTTAAAATTGTCACATCTCTCATGTTTTCTTGTAATTTCTTCACTATTAATGCACTTTTAGCTGTAATCCAATTTATCACAAATTAATGAGCATTTCATTCTTTAAGTCGAAGGTATGGACAAGATATAACATATCTTTAGCTTACGAAAGATACGATTTTTAATAAAAATATATAAAAATCGAGGATTAAAATAATAAAAAATGGAGTGTTATCGTACTTTTATGCGGGAGAAGCAGGGGCAGTCTCATTTGCTCAAGTGGTCATCTTCTCATTAATTAATAACATTAGTTAGTATTCACATAATATCTTAATCTTTAATTTTTATTACATCACTTCTTTTGCTTACGTTCATCTTATCATTTGTTTTTCATCCTCATTTCACCTTTTTTAAGCAAAGAGTTTATTGAAAATATGAGTTTCTACAAAAAGATACCGTATAATTTATATTTATTATGCTCTCTTCAGACTATATCTTCTCCCGACCTCATTTATAAAATTATTCTAAAGTATATAATTATTGTTGTATTCTTTGAGATTGAATATTGATTTGATTATGATCAGTATCTCTTTAATTTCTAGTGTTACCTAACACACTAGAATATAATAATACCTTTATGATTCTTTAATTTGTTGAATCTTATACTATTATATTGTAGCAAGTTACTTATAGAGAAAGACACTTTAAGATACTATCTAATCCCTATAATTAGATTAATAAATTAATGACATCAAACAAACACTTTTCCACATAAATATTTAAGGTAATTAAAAAAAAAACACAAAGCATCCCCTTCTCTAATCATGAGATTTAATATTTAATTTGGTCAAATTTGCACTACTTATATTATATGCTAAATAGATAAACTTTAGCTGATGAGGTTCTAATTAAACTGCGGCTTAATTAAGAAGCACCAGAAACAGCAATAGATTCAGAATTTAAATTTTATTGAATTTTATAATTTTTGATTTTTTGGAGAGTCACCTAATCAAGTGTTGTAATTGAGTTTTCAATTTAATATTTAATATGTATTTGAAGATATTCTGAACACATAAATTATTTAGATCAAAATTGTTAAATTTTGTTGAATTACATGATAATTAAACATTTAGGCCACACGCGATCGTCGGACGATAGTATAATAGTATTGACAATTAAAAGTACTCTTGAAGGTTACTATTTTGACCTTCAAGTGTACTTACATTGTCGATAATACTATACATAGCCTATTGATTGACAATGTAGTGATTGATCGAGAATTCTCCATTATCTTAATCAGATTTTTTACGAATCGAATCCTAAAATAGAAATCGGATTTTTCAATAAAGAGCAATTTATTTTCCTTGTGAGTCTAGCAGTCATCTAGATTAGGAGTGGATCTAAGGATGTGTCAAATGATTCATCTGAACCCCTTTATAAAAAAATACCCTTGTTTTACAAAATCAAAATTATATTTTATATATACAGTATTTAATAGACATGAAATTTAATTGATTTCATTTCACTAATATAAATTAAAGGAGAGAGAAATATCATGCTAGGAAATTAAAATATTGTCCACTTCTATTAATACTAGTCGTAGCAAATAAAAAATAATCAATCACTCTTAATTTCCTGAGTTAGCTTAATAACACTCTTAATATAATGTGAAAATATTTGTTTTGATGTTTGCATGACTTTTTTTTTTAATAGACCTCACACCACTAAAAATAGTTGATCATTACACTTATTTGTTTCACCATATGACCGATGAGTTAATTTAGCTACATTCTGATAGAAAAGATTAAAATAAATACTCCCTCCATCTTATTTTATGTGGTACTTTTCGGATTTCGAAATTCAAATAAGTCTATTTTTTACCATAAAATTTTCATAGATTTTTATACATTTTGAATTGTCAATTATTGTGACTTATAGTACTTTTTAATTATGTAGTTTACAAATATATAAATTTCATTTTTAAAAAATTAAGATTTCATGCGTGAATTCCCGATCAAACTTAAATTATTTGACTCTCGAAAAAACGAAAAGTGCCACCTAAATTAGGTATTGTAACAAAGAATATTAAGCATATAAAATATATACCATTGTGGTCTAGGATATATCATCTGCAGAAGATTGTATATTTTGGTTAAGTACTTGAAGCAATAATGATAATTAAACCTTAATGATAATGATTAACATATCCTTAAAAGTATGTGGGGTCAAAAATATCCTTTCGCAGCTTCATTAATTTTTTAAAATTGTTTTTGCACCAAAAAATCAGAATCATAATGATCTTATGCTTAATCTCAACCTCAAATTATCTATCGTGATTCTCTTTTATATGTTTTTTAAAATATTTTTCCCTGATATTTGAATGAACATAACATCACCCATAACTATAAGGATAAAATGAAATAATTTTATCTTAAACTTCTAAAATGTTAAATAATATAAAATAACTATTTTTAAAAATTATGAAAATTAATTTGAGGCCAAGAGAATAATATATGTCCCTATCAGGCTACACTTAACCACTCTAGAAACTTTTCAAATAGTTTGATATGTTTTCACATGCAATATTCAAAAAGATTTAAAGTACAAATTTTAAGGGTTTAACTTATATACGTAAAGAAATTTTTATGCCATTAAATTATAATAAAGAAAACTAGAAATAGCTAGCCTCCATAAAAAGGCTAGATTAATTAGTAATTATCTTGTAATAAAGCAAGTAAGTTATTACTGTAGTTTTTAAATATATAAACAAAAATTAAAAAATTTATATTCAAATTTAAATCGAACATTAATTAGTTTAACACTCATATTTCGAAACAAATTTAAATGGAAGGGGTATGAAATAGAGAAATCAACCACATGCATGATCAATAATATACATAATTTAAAGACATTATTAGTTTATTACTTGTAATTAGAAACAAACAACAAAGTTAGGAAAATGTGACTTTTGTTAAAAAACACCCCCCCCCCCAACCCCCATTAGTAATTATCTTGTAATAAAGCAAGTAAGTTATTACTGTAGTTTTTAAATATATAAACAAAAATTAAAAAATTTATATTCAAATTTAAATCGAACATTAATTAGTTTAACACTCATATTTCGAAACAAATTTAAATGGAAGGGGTATGAAATAGAGAAATCAACCACATGCATGATCAATAATATACATAATTTAAAGACATTATTAGTTTATTACTTGTAATTAGAAACAAACAACAAAGTTAGGAAAATGTGACTTTTGTTAAAAAACCCCCCCCCCCCCAACCCCATATTTCAACCACCATATTTTCTATGGGGATCTTTTTGGAGATTGAGATTTATACAAGATTTGAAAAAGATGACAAAAGCTTAATAGTTGTCACCAACCATTTAATTTTTAAACTATAGTATATTTTTGTTAAAAGGTGATCTTTGATCTTGTTTACTCTACAAAATCAATCATTGGTTATTTTGAAGGAATTTTATCCCTTTTTTTTCAATGAAATTTGAGGGGCCCAATTTTTCTTTCTATTTATATAAGGGGTTTATTTGACATAAAATTTCATTCAAATAGTTCTCATTTTCTTGCTTTTGTGCAATATATTCATATTTTCTTGAAAATAAAATATCAAAAATAATAAATATGGCCATTGTTGAGCTATCAAAAGTTGCAAATTCAGATACTCATGGTGAAGATTCACCATATTTTGCAGGATGGAAAGCTTATGATGAAGATCCTTTTGATGAAGTGCACAATCCATGTGGAGTAATTCAAATGGGATTGGCTGAAAATCAAGTAAGTATAAACTGTTTTCTCGTACAGGTTAAACTTTTAGATGATACAGTCTTGCAATTCAACATAATATTAGAGTCATCAGGTTGAAGTCTTGAGTTCGAATCTCGTTGTTATTCATCATCCCTTCTTTCATTCTAGGGTGACATTCGAACCATTTATTTTTTTCTTGGTTCGAAATGGAAGTAAGTTTGAATAGTATCTTAGAATATCATCTCTAGGGTATATTGAAAAGAATTTTTACGTGTTTGATCATGAAAAAAATTCAGGCTCGTATGTTGAAGAGCGTATTTGAAGATATAATTAAGCAAACCTAATGGTTCTACTCTTTGAGTCGAGGGTTTATCGAAAATAATATATCTGCCTTCACAAGATAGGAGCACAATTGCGTACACATCATTGTCCCCAGATCTCACTTGTGTAACTACACTGATATATATGTAGATGTTGTTGTAAAAACATACTACCTTGTCTAATAACAAAAACTTATAGATGAAATGATAACACAATTTAATAAAATACTGCTCAGACTCTCTTAAAATGTTATCACACTCACATTAAATCCTCCAAAATATAGTAATTCACAACATTTTTCAAAAGTCCGAACAACATGATTAAGCTAATATATATTCTACTTTTTGTGTATAGGTATCATTTGATATGGTGGAAGAATACTTGGAAAAACATTCAAAAACAATTAATTGTGGAAGTGGAATATCTAACTTCAGAGAAAATGCTTTATTTCAAGATTATCATGGATTATATTCATTTAGAAAATCAATGGCAAAATTCATGGAAAAAATAAGAGGTGGAAGGGCAAAATTTAATCCAGATAGAATTGTTATTACAGCTGGTGCTACAGCTGCTAATGAATTATTAACTTTTATTTTAGCTGATCCTGGTGATGCCTTGCTTGTTCCAACTCCTTACTATCCAGGGTAAGTAATATTATTTATAGTAATTAAATTATTTTATCCAAATAATTATTAGTTACTATAGTGTATATATATATATTTATAGGGAAAAGAGTCAAAGATACCTTTTTACTATTTAAAATATCTTAAATTTAATATATGTTATACTTTGTCGTCATGTATATCCTTATTAGTTAAATTTAATACGCGTATTCCTAATCCTAAATGCAAGTAGGAATATATAAATTCTCTTCGTTGAAAAATTACATATTGAATATAGAAGGTGTTGAATTCTCTTAGCCTTTTAATTTGGTGCATTTTTTTCTTTTTATTTTGAATCTCCTCAGGTGAAAATCCTGATTTTGATACTGTACAAAATATGAATGACTTGAAAGTATAACAAAAGATAAAATTAAGATATTTCGTATCGTAGACAAGTAAATTTGAACATTTCCCCCTATTTCTATTCACTCACAATCTAAGTTTTAATTATGTTTTACTAATAACTTATGATTCTATTTTTATTTTATTTTTTACAGATTTGATAGAGATTTAAGGTGGAGAACAGGTGTAAAAATAATTCCAATTCATTGTAACAGTTCAAATAATTTCCAAGTTACACCACAAGCCTTAGAATCAGCTTATGAAGAAGCAAAAGTCAACAAAATTAAAGTTAGAGGAATACTTATAACAAATCCTTCAAACCCTCTAGGTGCAACAATCCAAAGATCAAATCTTGAGGGTATTCTTGATTTCGTGGTTCGTAAAAATATCCATCTTATCTCTGATGAAATCTACTCTGGCTCAGCATTTTGTTCCTCGGAATTCGTGAGCATAGCTGAGGTTTTGGAATCTAGAGATGACGTGGACTCTGAGAGAGTCCACATCGTTTATAGCCTTTCGAAAGACTTGGGTCTCCCTGGATTTCGAGTTGGTACAATTTATTCATACAATGACAATGTTGTTACAACAGCCAGGAGAATGTCAAGTTTTACGTTGATTTCATCTCAAACACAACAATTGTTGGCATCCATGTTGTCTAATGAGGAATTTACAACGAATTATATTAAGACGAATCGCGATAGATTGAGGAAGAGATATGAAAAAATTATTGATGGATTAAAGAGTAGTGGAATTGAGTGTTTGAAAGGGAATGCAGGGTTATTTTGTTGGATGAATTTGAGTCAATTATTGGAAAAATCAACAAAAGAATGTGAATTGGAACTTTGGAATTCAATTTTATGTGAAGTAAAATTGAATATTTCACCAGGATCATCATGTCATTGTTCAGAGCCAGGATGGTTTAGAGTTTGTTTTGCTAATATGAGTGAACAAACATTAGAAATTGCACTCAAAAGATTACATAATTTCATGCAAAGAAGAACACAAAAAAAGGATTAACTTTCTTCTTTAGACCAACAAGGGTTATGTGGTGTAAATCCGGATAAATCGGGCCCTATCGAATATTGGATGGATCGGGCCCTGATATAGGTATCGAACATCGGATGAATCGGGTCTAATACAGGTATCAAACATCAGATGGATCGGACCATAATACAGCTATCGAACATCGGATGGATACTCAGGAACAAAAAACTTTTTCATCTTTAGTTCTGTTTGGTTTGAGGGAAAAAATCCAAATTTGATTGATGTTGGATTAATTTTCTAATTGATGTTAGTTCCAAGGATTTGGATTTTTGTCCTCATATAAATGTACATCATTATTGAATTCAAGTTATATATAGAATTACTTCTTTAGTCCTATTTTATATGATATTGTCTTTACTATCTTTAAAAAAAAAAGACATGATTCTATGTGTTTGGAAATTATTATTGATCTTAAAATTTTTATGTTATTCCTAATAATATGATTTTATAGTTATACACGTATAATAACATGTTTAAATTACATTAGTGTTACTTTTGGCGTAGGGGTGAATCTACTATTCTGATTATGGGTTTATGTGAACTTAACAACTTTGGTCAAAGCTCACTATATATTAATAAATTGACATAATATATAAATATATTTTTTAACTTAGCTTCAGCGATTGTCTAGACCCTTCAACTTAGAATGTACACAAATAGACACTTAAACTTGTATAAAATTGAACAAATAGACACATTCATCCTATATGACAAATGTGTGTCTCATGTTTCGTTTTTCAAATATCAAGTTATGTAAACTTTAATTGGTATTTTAAAATATATTGTCTCATTAAATTAGCATGACAATCGATTCCGTAAAAGATGAGATTGACAATCAACTGAAATTCCATCTCTGTGAGATCGTCAATATTATACCAAAAGCGTCTTTATTAGAGTATATCAAATCAGTATAGCTATACTATCGTCTATCGCTATTATTCTTATGGTGTAACAAATCAATTTATTAAAAGTAAATATTAACTAATTTATTTTTTCCTTTACTTTGTTGATGTCAAACCATGTTCCATATATTCAATAGAAAATTCTTTCAATCAAAGTTATACTTTATACACAAATTATAGAAAAAGTCAAAGTTGAACCCCAAAACTCCAATTTGTTTGTTTTTTTTCATAAATTTGCGTCATTGCCGTGTTGTTGTTCTACCAAACACTCTAAACGTGGCATAACAATAAAGTTTAATCCTCAAACGTGGTATTTATGAAATTTATTTTTACTATTTTCGTTAAAAAAATTATTTTTCTATAAACTTGTTTTTCAACCTATAGAATATATTTTTCAAAATATTTTAACCAATTAAATATAAAAAAAATTGAAAATATTTCCTCCGTACCAAATACACCCTAAGATATTATGTTTCTTTCTCTTGTATTATTACTTTGTCTTTCACGTGAAATCAACAAGTTTCGAAAAGTCCACACACATATTTGACACCACAAATAAATATATAACCCAATCCTTTATCTTGGCTTTTATCCGAGGTTTGTAATATAAATTCATGCCACATAGACTCCCGTTGGGAAAAACACTCCTTATCAACGATTTTTTCATAGGCAGATCAACTCGAAGTTCAAACCCTAACGAGGATAATAAAGAGTTTAGACTTCAGATCTTGACTCTTTTGCAAAAACTATTTTCATTTATTTATTTTCCAGTTTCCACCTGGTGTCCGACATCTATATTGAAGATCAATCATTCCGGATTCGCACTGTGTAGAACGACCTCATTCGAGGGAAAGCGCTCCCTACTAAAGACTTTTTTATACTCAAGATTCGAACTCGACACCAAAAACCACTTCATTAACAATGGTCAAATTACCACCAACTCATAGTGATAGTGAAGTCAAATGATCCCTCTAATATAAAGTCTTCAAAAAATTTCAAACCAATCAGAGTCGTACAAATCAGTACCTCATGTGCCTCGTGAGTTGCAAATCATAATATGAATTGATTAATTTCTAAAAAATAATAGTAATACAAAAAAATTCCAATCATCCATAGACTAAACTGAAATCCTCATCTGCCAACCAACTGCTGCACTAATTAAAGAAATACTATTATTATTTATCCGTTCATTTTTATTTGTTCAGTATTAACTTGACATATTTGATCTTAAAAAACGATAAACAAAATGACAATGTTATTATATCATCCTTTGAGGACAAAATAAATTTAATATTTTGATTAGGGGACTAGGTGATATATTGTGTTTCAATTTTTCTAAATTGAACAAGTAAAAGTGGACATCTATTTTTAAAACATGTTGGACAAGTAAATGTGGACGAAAAACGTCAGGTGATGCTTCCCATAGACGGAGTTCTCTGGTACTTATTGCTGGTGGAAGGTAACAAGTATTCCGTGAAATTAGTCAAGGTGAGAGAAAGTTGACCCGAATACCGCTGCCTTAAAAAAAGTGAACGAAGAAAGTACTAATTAGCAACATCAATTGTTTACATGGAATTTATCTTGCAAAAATAGTTCTTACCCTCGATCCAAAAGAGAGTCTTGACATAACAGATAAAGTTATTGTCATGTAATGATCAAGAGATCATCAATTCAATAAGTCATGAAAACAATCACTCGTAGGATTACCTGATATAAGATTATAACGAAAGCTTTATTGCACCGACATCAATTTAAAAACAGCTAAGGGTACATCAGGAAAAAGTTGTTGCATGCATAGAATAATATGATGGTCCAAGATTTTCTTGGTACCAATAACACAGCATTAAATAGTGGTACCAAAAGCTATTTAAATTGTACTATAAGACTCATAAATTTTGGCCTTTACTAGCCCAAAAATGGTGGAATAAACACAGCTATAAATATTTGTACAAAAAGCAATATAGATAGTACTTTTAAAGTAGCAATAATGTGAAGTATACTGTCAACTTGGGCATATGTTATTGGATGAGTAATTTCTTTGCTCTTCAATTATAGACATCTGTATTTTTACAATTTAATATAGAATTTTGTGGATATATGTATCTACTTTTTAATTTGTTTAGTAGACAATAGTTTTCATACTTTTTATAAAAATAGGAAAAGAGCTTGCTTCACCAAATTTCCAATTTTGATAACCAAAGTAATTTATATTGGGCTTGTGCGAAGCATAGGCTTGCCCATCTAGTACAATAAGATTTGACAGTTAAAATTGAAATAATTTACATAAATTTCATAGTATTAAGAGTTACGTATATTATTTTTCTATTTTTTTTAATTATAAAAAATCCTTAAAATTTATGAATTTCGGATACATTATTAGACTTTCGGATACATCAGCAGATATCCAGATACATAGGGAGGGATGTACCAGAGAGGGGATAAGGATGTATCAGGGAGGGGATATGATATTCGGATACCTAGGGGAGAGATGTATTCGAGAGGGGAGGGATGTATCTGAGAGGGTGATGTATCCGAGAGAGGATTTTTGAATTTTTTTTTAAATGGTCCAAAACTTAAGAGATTATGATAAAATAAGATGTGTATTTAAACAATTTTTCCTTAAAATCTCACTAACAAATCTTTGCATGACAACATGAGTTATGAAATTATGATATAAAATTACATTGATATGAAGTATTGAAATTTTATTTGCACGTGTAATTGAAATTTCTTAGTTGTATTTTCTTTTTCATGAACATGAAAACCTATCACAAGTTATGAAAGTTATCATAATTTCTTCAATTCTTACACAGTTTTCTTATATGAGTAAATCCTAATTTATAAATAAGGCATCGGAGTATTTTAAATTCCACATTGTTAATCATATATCTTCATATTTCTTTTATAAATAAATCTTTGCAATTCTAAGCTTTCATATACACATAACTTTATAAAAATCCACTAGTGAACAACAATAGTAACTAGTTGTTCTTTGATATAATTTTTCCACATGACATACACAATCTTATCACGCCTAGCATGCGCCTTTTCTTTTTTTTACAAAATTTAAAATGATATTTTTTTTCAAAATATAAACTTAGAGTCAAATTTTACATTTAAAGAAAAAAATTGAATCCATGATTTGAAATCCTAAAATCATATTATTTTTTTTCCGTGTGTGGAGAATTTGATATTTGAAATCATGTCCAAACATTGATTTGAAATTATGAATTTATATTGTATGTCTAGACGCAAGCTAACTATGAAAATTGAAATCTCATAAGACAAACCATTTAATCACGATCTAAAATTTTATAAACGTTAGACGACAGACTACTAACAACCCTCCATGTTGGGCCCTCTCTGATATTTGGGTTAAAGTACCATTGAAATGTTCTCATGACTGGGCCCATTAAATGTGATCTGTCGTAAATGGGCTAACAAAATAATTAAAAAGCCCATTAGAATTTGCAGAAACAATATTAGCTAAACTTATGAGTAAACATGTTTATTTGCATAATAGTTGGAAATAATTAGTAGGATATAGAACTTTTTTTTGTGTGAATATTATAACACAACAAGTGCATTTATAGGAGTAAACACGAATTGAAAAAGGATGTCATTTAAAATTAGAAAGATTCAGATCTACAATAAAAAAGGCAAATTATAAAATAGTTTTTAAGTCATTTTTTTCAAGCGAACTTACATAAATATAATAGATTTATTTATGAGTTAATATTCTTGGCAAAAACAAATGACTACATGAACAAACCAAAATTAACTACTAACGAGTCTAATTAATTCAAGAAATTTAACGATCAGCTCAAAATCATAAAGAAAAGAATAATAAATCTATTCTCAAGGTTATTATCCCATGCCCTTTAGTTTAGTAATAAATAATAAAAGCGCAATATATAATGTGTGAGTATATATATATATATATAAGTAGGATTATTTTAGTTACATTGGGCTGCTGTGCACCGTAAAAGTCCCTTTACAAAATAGGTTTCACAACTTCTTGGGCTAAGAGATTAGTCTTTGCACTAGCAGTTTAGCTCAATGGGACAGAGGTGGCAAAATTAGCTCATTCAAAAATATTATTATTTTGAAATAAAATAAAATGAAAAAATAAAAACTTTACTTATTTTAAAATGGAAAATG